CCCCACCGCATCCCAAAACCAGTCCAGCTCGTCCCTGCCTCCCTAACCTGTTCTTCCTCCCACCTATCCCCTCCTCCCACCTCAAGCCGCACCTCCATCTCCTACCGACCAACCTCATCCCGCCCCCTTGACCTGTCCGTCCTCCCTGGACTGACCTATCCCCTTCCTAACTCCCTACCTACACTCACCTTTCCTGGCTCCATCCCCGCCTCTTCGACCTGTTTGTTTCCTCTCCACCTATCCTCTCCTCTATCCCTCTTCTATCCGCCTCCCACTCTCTCCCTATTTATTTCAAAACCCCCTTCCCCTCCCCCTTTTCTGATGAAGGGTCTAGGCCCGAAACGTCAGCCTCTCTGCTCCTATGATGCTGCTTGGCCTGCTGTGTTCATCCAGCCCTGCACCTTGTTGTCTCGGATTCTCCAGCATCTGCAGTTCCTACTATCACAGGAAAATCCAAAATAGCCTGTTCTATCTCATCTCTAGATATTACTTGTCCCACATTGTAGCCCAAGTAAGTCATCTTTGCCTTGAAAGTTCAACCTTAGCTAACTTCATAATCAAATTGGCTTTTTGAAGCCAGCCAAACAGTTCAGTCAAGTGGTGTAAATGTTCTTCTCAGATTGGGCTGAAAACAACCAAATAATTGATGTAAACAACAGCATTGCATATGGCTGAATCTTGCATTTTTTTGCCTAAGTGCGAATTGTGTTGAGTTTTTTGGAGGGTTTTTTGCCATAAGGCCCAGCAAGATTTATTGGCGTACCTTCCCAAACTCACCTCATTAGCTATGTACCTCACCTTCATGGCATTCCGCCTGACTGATTCTAGCCCCATCCTAAACTTGTCATTCCTGGAACAACTTTCCAGTCACCGGATATCTGCCAAAGGTCTTGCATCCCTTGTCCTGATGCCATCTTTGAAAGACTGCTGTGCATCCAGACCATTGTCAGCAAGCAAGCATTGTCCCTCAACAGCAACTTTATGGCAGAGCAGCCACATGTTGTTCACAGTAAATAGCCAGCACTCCCTCATGTGTACCAATCCATTCTCTCACCCGAGTCACTGTTTACCCACCAGGCCATACAATTCACATGTGATGCCTCCCCGTACAGCATGAGGGTGGTATTAGCTCATAGGTGGCCCAGTGGCGAGAAACTACCCGATAGAGTATGCATGCATGACTTTGGCTAAAGCAGAGCATAAATAATGAGGAAGCGGCCTTTCTGAAGACAAGCCAAGCGAAAGGAAAGGTCCAAGTGCTAACCCTTGCGGCACTTCGGACCCAGCTAAAATTTCGCCTACCTGGCGCCTTCCATTGGAGTTTAAACTATAGCCACGCTGCCGTCAATCCTAGCGGGTTGCCAAGCCACCGACATGTCCCACCTTTCCACCGCCGGCCAATGAAACGACGCGACGCTTGGAAGCTAAAAGTCTATTGGTGAACACTACCGCCTGTCGGCTTCTGTTGCTAGGGGGCGGGGTGGGCGCTGGCGTCTGTTGATTTTTCTTGGGGGACTGCTTGCCTTCCCTCCCACCATAGCCACCATCTCACTGCTTCTCCTCTCTCCAATTCAAAGTTGATCGTTTCTCGGTCTTGTTCACCCCCCTCACCACGAGTCGGGATTGAAAGAGGCGCTAATGGGAAGTTCTCAGAGCGCGACCCTTCCCGGCGGCAGGACCGGGGGCTTTCATGTTCTTCGGGTAGGTGTGAGGGCCGGATCGGGTGGGGGTCGCCGAGGAGGCTGGGGCCAGGCTTGGAGGCCTAGTTGGCCTTCCCCGATGATACAGCCGATCTGACTGTATGTCTTTGTTTTAAAGCGGACGGGAAAGGGGTTCTGAGCCGAGTCGTGTTTCAAATCTTGCCGTCTTTGCACGACGAGTAACGGAGACTTATCCTGCGGACGGTCTCCACGGTAGGCAGTTTGGGATTTTGTTTTGTATGATTGGAGGGTACTGTTGAAAGGAATGAATGGGCTGCTGAATTGTATCTTCGCCGAAGTGCAATGGCTCAGTGGCTAGTGTTGCTGCCTCATAGCACCAAGGACCTGGGTTTGATTCCACCCTCTGTGTGGAATTTGCACATCCTCCCCGTGTTTGCGTGGATTTGCTGCGGTTTCCTCCCACAGTCCGTAGATGTGCAGGTTAGGGTGGATTGGCCACGTTAAATTGCCCATAGCGTCCAGGGATGTGCAGGCTAAGAGGGTTAGCCATGTGAACGCAGGGATCGGGTAGGGGGGTGTTTTTGGGTGGAATGCTCTTCGGAGGGTCGGTGTGGGCTGGTGGGCCGAATGACCTGCTTCCACGTTGTAGGGATTCTACGAAGCAGTCTGGAAATTTCCAAATGTGAACCACCAATTGCCTGATGTCAAATCTGTATCTAATCATTTTTCTTGTGTGTATGCCTAAATTTTAATAGCGATTACCGAGATAATCTTAGCTCGGTTGGCTAGCTTGGCTACAGGACGTTTGTGAACCAGATGCATTTTTAACAATCATTTTGTAGTTTGATTGTCGTTACTGCGACTACTTTTGGATTTTAAATTTTGGATTGATTTACCTAACTGAATTCAAATATCCCAACTGGCACGGTAGGATTTGAACTCCTGTCCCTTGATTATGAATCCACATCTCGGGATTACCAGCCCAATAACTCCTATGTTCCTATATCCTATGCATGTATAATTCATCCCTTCTTTCTCCACTACAGCCGTGTTCTATGGTACTGAGCTAATCATGAATGTTTTTTGTTTCTATTCTACAAAGTAAATTCTGTTTTCAAGGCATGATTCTATCCCCAGCCTTGTCTCTGTCGTAGTTTTTGAGTTGGCGGATGATGCTGTTATTTTGTGCACAATCAAGACTTTGCATGAAAGTTTTCAGGTTCAAAATGCTGGGCTCAACAGTTTGTATAATAGTGTTTCTTCTTGGGATCTATGATTTAGGAGCATACAGATGCAATTGAAATTTAATTATATCATTAAATATTGCCAAATGCTTTACCAACTGATATCCCTTTTTAAAATAATTGCATTTTAATGTTAGTGGTAAAATGAGTAGTTTAGTTTTATGGTTGCTCTCTTGCTGCTGCAAAGTAACTCCTTTGCAAAATACCTCCAGCAATGCCTCTATTTTTGTTCAAAATAGATGGAATGATCCTGACATGGTAGTATCACTGCTAGTGTTGATCCATTAATGTTGGCCTCATTCCAGGGAAAGATATTTATGAAAAGATTTTGAATTTAATGACTTTATTTCTGCATCTCGCTATCCAAAATATACTGGAGCTACAAAAATAGTGTTTATGTAATCGTAATTCCTACTGTACACTACAAAGTGCATCATGCCTGTATCAGGTGTCTGAAGAACTGTTTGTTCTTCAGCTATTTTCCCCATAACCCTGCAAAATACATTTTTTTGGGTGTGTATCCCACTCCCTTTGGAAAGTTCTGCAAATTTACCTAAATTCAGCCCACATCATTTCCAACTATAACCCATCACTTTATTTATTAAAAAAGTCTCATTTTTAATTATGCTATTTGGTTCCAAACTGAGCTACCAGTGGAACCTGTTTTTCCTCGTTGGATTAGAGTTGGTATTACATCGATGGTAGTTTGTAGCTGCTTGGTTTTGCTATTAAAGACCCTATGAATGGGGGATTGGGGTTGCATGACTCCCTGCAAAGGTAAAGGCGAGGCAAAATGAGTGTCACTGGCAAGGTCAGTGTTTGTTGCCTGTCCTTAACTGCCCTTGAACTGACTGGCTTGCTAGCCCATTTTAGGGGGTGGTTAAGAATCAACCACATTACTGTGGATCTGGAGTCAAGTGTAGGCTTGACCAGATAAGAATGTTAGATATCCTTTCCAAAAGGGCATTTGGTGAACTAGATGGATTTTGCAACAATTGATAGTTAATGAGACTGAGACTAGTTTTCATTTCCAAGTTTTATTAACTGAAGTTAACTTCACCAGGATTTGAACCCTGAGATAGGATTAGGATTTGAGTTGCAAGTAGACAGAGCAGTGAAGAAGGTGTTTGGTACGCTTGCCTTTATTGATCAGTGCATTGAGTATAGGAGTTGGGAGGTCATGTTGCAGCTGTACAGGACATTGGTTAGGCCACTTTTGGAATACTGCATTCAATTCTGGTCTCCCTGTTAATAGTAAAGATGTTGTTAAACTTGAAAAGGTGCAGAAAAGGTTAACAAGGATGTTGCTGGGGTTTGAGGGTTTGAGCTATAGGGAGAGGCTGAATAGGCTGGGGCTATTTTCCTTGGAGTGTTGGAGGCTGAGGGGTGACCTTATGGAGGTTGATAAAATCATGAGAGACATGGATAGGGTGAATAGCCAAGGTCATTTTCCCAGGATAGGGGAATCTAAAACTAGAGGGCATCGGTTTAAGGTGAGATGGTAAAGATTTAAAAGGGACCCAAGGGGCAACTGTTTCACGCAGAAGGTGGTGCCTGTATGGAATGAGCTGCCAGAGGAAGTGGTGGAGGCTGGTACAGTTACAACATTTAAAAGGCATCTGGATAGATACATGAATAGGAAGGGTCAAATGCTGGCAAATGGGACTAGATTTATTTAGGCTATCTGGTCGGTACGAATGAGTTGGGCTGAATGGTCTATTTCCCTGCTGTACAATTCCAACTCAGTGATTTGAACTAGTGTCCCCATGGTATAAGTCTGACCCTCTGGCTTACTAGTTCAGTAACATTTGCACTATACCACCATATTCCCATTGAAATAGGTATCAAGTAGATCCTATTTGCTCATTCGATACAGTGTGGAGCTGGAGGAACACAGCAGGCTGACCTCCTGTGTTCCTCCAGCTCCACACTGTATTGGCTCTGACTTCCAGCATCTGCAGTTCTTGCTATCTCCTATTTGCACATTGACAGGGTTATGTTCTTCAGTCATTTGAACTTTTATTTCAGTAGGTGCAAGCTTTGTCAACAGATTTCAGAGTTGACTTTTTTTGACTTTGCATACACAAAGCTAAAAACCATATAAATGCTTGCCATTGCAAGTTTCTTAGTGTTGGGTTTCCAGTTTAAATGTTGTCAGTTTTCTTTTGGCATAAGATAAAACACTTGATACAGGCCTACACTTCACTGTTTCACAAAAGAGAGAAATAGAATGAGAGTACATTTTCTTGTGTCAACATGGCTCTGTCAGTGAAATAATCACCCCAGGCTCAGGTGCTTGATGTTTCAAATCTGACACTAGGCTTTGAGGATGTAATGTTAATTGACTGAACTCTTTCACTGGCTCACAGTCAAAAACGACCTTGCTTGCTTTGCTGATCTGCCGAAAAGCTGCCTATCCTCTGTTTTGGCACATCTGTCCCCGCTTTCTATGTCTCACCACTAACTTTTGCCCTGTGCAGCAGTCACCTTTGCAACCTCAAATTGTAGGACTCCCTGACACGGGAGAGAACCTACATGCATAATTCATGCAGTAACTGACTGAACCAGTTACACATCCAGGTTCTCTTATATGATCACCTTGAGCAGTATTGTCTTGTTATCTCGAGCCATGTCCTGTTCGTACTGGAGAGTATGGGTAACCCCAAATGTCTTTTTCTGTGAACTGACTAACCTTTATATTGCATAAAGAAATTCATGGCATTCCTCATCTTTAAAATTGAGGTGATTTGCTCTGCTTTTTGCCTCCTTCAACTCCACTCTCCTCCCTGACCCTGATCTCTTCCAGTTCCTATCTCATAGAAATGTTTGCCTTTTTGTTTTCCAGTGTTGACTAGATTCATTTCCTTCCCTCTTGACCCTTTCTATCTCCTGAACAATCAGTTACTTTTCTTAGTTTGATCATTCCCAAATTCCTCAACACTTTTTATCCAATGTTCTTGGCAGCTGTTTCCCAGGCATCATCTTCTATCAAGTCTAATTCATCCAGAGTTAGTAGGAACTGCAGATGCTGGAGAATCCGAGACAACAAGGTGCAGGGCTGGATGAACACAGCAGGCCAAGCAGCATCATAGGGGCAGAGAGGCTGACGTTTCGGGC